CTGCCCAGCAGCAAGGGTTTGATTCAGTACTCAGTCATGCTCAACAGGCATATTCTCCACTTTCAACACTTACTAAATTCATATCTAGTGACCACCTAACAGCACTTGCACATCAGCTGTGCTTAGAGATGCAGAGCTAGGAGCACTGCCTTAGCAGCTGTTGCACTTCTCATCAGACCTCATCCACCTGAGCTCTACCAGAACTCTCTGGGCAGAAAGGGACATGGTCTACATGAAATTTGGCTTAAGAGAGGGTCTGGTGGGGCATCCTCTCTAGCCCTAGAGGAAACAAAGCACTTGGGTGAGACTGTTGCAGAGCTGTCAGACAGCAGGCACACATTTCTCCTGCTGCTGGTTCAGCCTGACTAGATGTCTGCACCTAGACTGCAAGGTGCATTGCTGGCTCAGCATAGTAGATTTAGAGTGATGAACAGACTCGTGGGTACTTCTCCACAAGCTCTGGTGGGATTCATTTCATAAAAATTGTTTCCTTCCTATTTCAGTCATGGAGTAATTATCTCTCATATGTCAAGTTCATTGTTCCCCTGCCTAAATCTGTCCAGTCTGGTGGACAGAAGAAAGATCTCACACCTCTGCATTTCTACATCACTCCCCTAGTGAGACAGACAAGCCCAGCTCCTGCTGGCTGAGCCCCACAAGGAGTTCTAGTTTCAACAAGAACCAACCACAGTAATTTCTAACTAACAAAAGCATGAGAAGCAGTAAGGGAAATAGTCTTTCTTTGGGATCCCAGGCACTGTTGCCTCAAACTGCAGTCTTCATGTTTCCCTGCTAAGCTGCTGAAAGAGTTCCAGCCTCCCAGGCAGCCATGCTACAGAGGAGGGCAGAGTTGCCTTAGGCTTGAACTGCTAGCAACACTTTTTTCAATTCAAGCTCATTAACAATACTTAAGAGTGCTGTGGAAAGAGTCCAATGGATTAAGCTGAGTAAGATAAAGAGCTCACATTTTTTAAAACACTTGGCATGGTGCAAGCAAGCATGTGCTAACTGCCTGCTTTCAAGTTACAACTGAGAGTCAGAGACCAGTACCCTGACAGGAGCTAGGACAGACTTGATCAGGCAGCTATCTCCAGCACATGCCTGTGAACTTCCAGCTCTGCTCAGGCACCAGAAGTGAGGACCTGAAGGCAATCACTATGACCACTTACCTGTTATTTTCAATAAAGGAAGTGTTGAACCAGAAGAAGAATGGGCAGTCATCATAGCCTTTTGGGAGATCCTAAACACAAAGGACTCCATTAGACTCATTTTTTTTTTGCAGAGCAAGAACACCCACCTGTCCTCAGTAGTTTGGTTTACAAAGCTACAGAGCCAGAGTCAGTACACTGGAAGAGCCCAATCTCACACCCAGATCACTATTTTCACTGCAGTTATCTCAGGACAAGGTCAAACTTAATACAGTGAAGTAAGGGACCCATGTGAGAAGCATCAGGTCCTCAAGTAAGATGTCTCATGAACAGGCAGGTGCCTCCCTGACCTGCACAGGCTGATGCAGCAACATCTGCTGCACCACTCCCTGCACAGGGGTGGAATGACAGCTGCTGAAACCCACTGCAGGAGTCAGTGGGGAGGAGCAGGCTGCCCCACAAGCTCAGCCAGCCCAGCTGCAGCCTCTCCCCACACTGAAGTGAAGGTCTTCATGCTGTGACACTTACAGAGCGCGACTCAAATCGGACCTTCACATCACCACTTATAACAGGGCTGTCTTCCAAGCCAATGACCACAGAGTCACTTTCAGAGTCAAGGAAGAGCTGCAAAACAGATTAAGTATTGCTTTTATGAAAAGTTACTGCAATGAGACAGGGGACCAGCTCATGACACTGCCCAGGTACCCGTTGATGGTATATGGACACAATAGGAGTGCTAGGATAACAGCCAACAACTTAACTGCTCAGGTCAGAGTGAGCTACTGCATTTAATTTACTTCTAGGGAAATCTTTCATCATCTTACCACTACTTCTCCTCTGATTTAGCAAAAATAATTTTCATTCTCTTCAAAATTTACTGCACCCATTCAGGTAGTTCTGTGTCCAGTGTTCAACTTTTAAAGGAAGACACTTTTAGCCTGCAAGTCATCTTCAGCTTCTGTGACTCAAGTGACACAATTTGATAGTACTCTCACCTTGCAGTTTCCTTGACTGGCACATACACATTCTAATACAACTTGCTTCCTCACTATTATCTGCACCTTCATATCAGTTCCGTTGCCTTTCCCAACTCCTAGGAAGAAAAAATTGCATTACACTCTACTAGATACATTAGCTGGAAACAGAAGTGGTCATCAGAACTAGTGCAATAATATTCATAAGTGTCTTCTCTCCAGAATTCCTTGCTATAGACTTGAAAGAAATGAATCCTAAAAGGTAGCTCAAAATGCAGTGGTTGAAAGTTCTACTCTGAAGTAGCAGCAAATCCCACTAGTGCAGCAGGGACAGGCTGATGTAGTCTAGTTCCACTGACTGAAGTTGGAAGTCCCCTCCAGAAGCAGTGCACAGAGAAACAGGCACGTACATCAAGCTAAGAAACATTACTGGAGCCAGTTCCACACGTGGAGTTAAATCACTCCAGAAGTGATTCCCCTCCCAAAGCAGAGCAAGGTGTCTGTGAGCCACTGTTTGACCAGACACCCAAGAAGTGACAGGATGTGAGGCAACTGCACTCCAAAATGCTCCTCACTGTATTTTACCTGTGCTACTGGGATTTGAGAATTCAAGTCAGTCTACATTCCTATCATGGGCTTAGCAAGAGAGACAGTAGAGATCAGCTGTACTAGGAAACCATTACCAGACAGAGGAATGTCCAAATTCAAGAGTTCTTACCATGTATAGAGTGGATTTTGAGGTTTTTTATTTTGAGTTGTCTCTCTGGTGGGAGTTTCAAGTTATACTTGTTTTTCAGGATCTCATAATACCCAACATACCTACTCTGTAATGCAAAAAACCCAGACACATTATGCAGTTTCTGTACCCCACAGACAGATTCTAGGCAGAAGTAGGATTAAATAGATCTTCTACACCAAGTTCTTAGCTTTAAGCCCAAAGCTAGGAAGAAGGAAGAAAGTATCCATTTGTTCTCCTTCCCCTCCCCAGTTCAAACAATCCTATAGACAAATTCAACACTGAAGTTTAAGCAGTATTTAAACTTGACATTCTAAGAGGATTTCTGTAGTTTTGAGTTCAGCAAGAAGTGAGGAGCTGTTATATGGTAGTCATAAGAGGCAGAATGTTTAAATGTACAGGATACTTTCATTTTTCAGCAGCAGAATGCAAGTACAGCTGTCCTTTACAATGTATTTTATACTAGCAACTCAAATACCTGTCATCAGCTTCATCTCACACCCAAATCTCAGAGCACACAGTGTATCAAAATGAGCAAAGCCCCAGAGTGGGCTCTGAGGCAGTAACTTGTTTATCATTTCCTGGTGAATGCAGTCTCTAGAGGATGCCTTCCTCCACCCAGGCACAGCAGGGCCATGACCCTTCCCAGGCCAGGCTGCAGGCTTCCCTGCATCCTTGATTGACAGCCCAATTGTCTTATGGGGTTCTGTCCCTGGGAGGGTGGGCAAACACTGCAGCAGGTTGCCCAGAGAGGTTGTGGAGTTTCCATGTGTGATGTTCTAGACCTGTCTAGACACAGCCCCAGGCAACCTGCTCTAGCTCACCCTGCTTGAACAACAGGGCTGGACTGAAAGCTCTCCTAGTCTCATCAATTCTGTCACCTTAGACACCATAGTTCAGATCTGATGTTACACAGAGGCAGGCATAAGGAATATACTTGGGTATACTAAGGAATATAACAAAGGAGGAGGGGGGAGATGCAGTGCAACAAGCTGGTATTCTTCCAACCCTTAGAGAGCACAAAGTTCAGGAGTTAAGCATTAGCAGGAACTGACATCTCTGAAACAAGGCAGGGGAGGTGGGACAGCATAAGCACTCAGAAGGCTGCTGTTGGTTTGGTGACTGTTACTGCACATGCCCAAGCTCACCTGGGATGGAGTTTCAACTCCTTGAAACTTGGTACTTGTGCTTCTATCAGTTCTTCGCTCCCCAAAGTAGTCCAGACTCTCCTGTGCAGGGAGATAATTTTAAGGGTTAAGACATTTATCCCACCACCATTCCCCTTCCTGGGAAGTCAGCAGTAAGCTAGAATGACACATGTGCAACAGCTGGTTTGGTACCTTCTAAAGGAGCCTTAACTAGAATAAAAGCAGTACTAATTAGGAAGTCAGGTACATTAAGTCTGTCATCCATGAGAGGGTCCTAATAAAGCTCACTGAATGAGCAATTGCTTTAGAACCATCTATATTTCTCAAATAGCCTGTAGAAGACCAAGCTGAACATCAGTTAAGATCTTCAGAAACCAAACTCAGGAAGACAAGTGATTAAATGGATATATCACACCCTGGGTGACCTGGGCCTTCTGCAGCCCAGCTTTCCAGGCTGATAGACCAAACCTGGGGTACTAGAGCAGCACATGCAGCTATCCTGGCTGGGACTTGATCTTTCTCCCTTTCCCCAGAAGGGCTTCTTGCTGTACTTCTGGCAAGACAAGACAAGTCTTGATGCCTCACACTACTTAGAGTGAGATTAGGGGAAAAAATGCACTTTAAAAACAGGAACACTAGCATAACGTGCTCAGAAGACATCTACAGTTTAAGAAGTTGTTGCTCAAGATCCTAGGTCTGTAATGCCTCCAAAAGTGCTTCAAAGTTGGTATCCTGTTAAATTCTACTTGCCCAGTTTTTTCCTGACCAAGAATACTCTTCATCAGAAAGGAATTTACATAGTAGCAAGATTTGCAAGAACTTTTGTAAAACGTTGTTCACAGAAACATTTTTCCAGTACAGATTTTTTTTTCTGAGTATTAGTGCATTTCATCAATTAAATTAGGTACTAAAGGGACATTTTGAATACTAGAGGAATCAAAAAATATAAACAACATTTTTACCTTTGCACTCTCAAACTGGTCACTGTCTATGAGCCAGGTACAGACCATGGTTCCAGTCCTACCTGTATTAGAAGAAAGACAGGTTGAACTTCAGAAATTCAAAGGTATTTAGGATTATTTTTGTGAAGTTATCTCTTTTGAAGTAGAAGAGAAAGCAGGAGATAACTGACAGCAGAGTGGTCAAGTGCCTACATTTCTATCCAGTCCTGCCTGTAGTAGAAGAAAGAGACAGGTTGAACTCCAGAAATTCAAAGGTATTTAGGACTATTTTTGTGCAGATGAAGTTATATCTTTTGAAGTAGAAGAGAAAGCAGGAGATAACTGACAGCAGAGTGGTCAAGTGCCTACATTTCTAGGAAGGAGTTAAAGACAAGAAACTGCAGTTTAACTTGTTCCTAAAAAGCAGTCCCCATGGGTTTTTTTGCAGTATTTCTGGAGATACTTAGGAAGCTGGCCAGCACCTGCATACTCCATTTTGTAGGTGATAGTGAAGTACACACTACTAGATTAGGTTATAGACTGGCACTTGCCAATGCTCTAAACCTCACGAGTTCCTTCTCTGCTCCAACTTTTCTCCCCTCCTGCTGCCACTAAGAAGGCATGAAGGCATCAAGCCTGCTAGCACAGACTCCAGTAGAGACTCAGTTTTGAATTTAAAATCTCAGAGATCAAGTCATCCACCCTACACCTGTTCTTCAAGCTGGTTTTTTTGCCTGCAGGAAGCTTCAGTTTTGCAAAACCTTTTAAGCCTACTGTCCCAAGTGGGAGAAAGAGCCTTCTTTATGTTAAGGAACCACCTGGTTTAAGCCAAGTATTTCTAGTACTAACTCCAAGTGGCTGAAAAATTACAGATGTCTGCAGTGAAATCTGTCTTATTTGCATAGTTACCTATGCACTTCAACAGCTCCTGGACTACCAGAGGTTGTGGAGAGCACTTGTGGGTCAGCTCATGTGCAGTAGCTTCAACTACCCTGTTAGCATCCCACTGCAAGACTTGATACTGTTGCTGGTCACCCCAGGGACTGCAGAATTTGTCAAGTTACACTCAAAACCCATCTCACAGTACAGCTTAAGGCCACACTAACATCAAAGAGGCCACGAGAGGAATAACATGCAATTTGCAGCATACACAAGTGACACATGAGCAGTCCCACCTTTGCCTCCTTTGCAGTGAATTGCTATGATGTTCTTTTCATCTTGACTCATCCACTCACGGACACTGGCAGTGAATTTCAGCATGTCCCTAGAGGAAAGGGAAATCAGGGATCAAAGCAAATGCCAACAGAACTATCAGGATGTAAGCATTTCTTGACAAGACTCACTGCAATGCTGGGACATTGTGGTCATCAATAAAGATCCTTTCCACCCTGTAGTGGAAGTACTTGGGGTCATAGCCTTTTTCACCTACAACCAAAGATCTGGAGTTATGCCAGGAAAGGGAACAGATTTGCAACAAAGAAAGTGGCTTGTGACACAGCTGCTGGTCTGAACATAACTAGTATCTATTTTTACTACTGTGCTTTAAACACAAAGTGGGGAAAAAAAAAAATGCAATTTGGCTAAAATCATGCTTGCTTAGCTTGTTTTTCACACTTCTAAGTGAGAACCCATCTCCAAGCTCAGGTTTAGTTTTAATCAGTAGCTTTTAAAACATAGAAGCTAATGCTCAACATAAACATGGAAGTCTAAACTACAAGGCATCCAGTGTGTCCTTTGCAAGCTTCAGTACAATGTATTAGATACTCTAAATCAACAGCCATGTGCAGGACAGCAGGTAGACAGCTGTGTGCTTGTGACAGATTAAATTCTTTGAGATCTGGTATTGCATCAGACTGCTAAACAAAGAAAAAACAAACTTCTTTTCAAGGTATTTCAAGGCAGTCAGCAGCTAAACATACTTACTGCAGAGATTGTAGACTTTATAGTGGTCTGCATGTTTGGTGTCCAAAAACCTTGCAACTTCCTAAAACAATGACAAGACATGAGTTCAGAGCAGTTAGTGCTCTACTCCTTATCACCACTGCCACCTCCTCCCCCATCACCCAAGTGGGATCACCAACAGCATTCATCAAGAGCCCTTGGCCAGCAGCCCCTTCCAGCAGCTCAGGTCCTTGCCTGGAATAAAGGTACTACTGCAACTGTCTTCCCTGCCTTAGATATTTACATTTCCAGAACATCAGGCAATGTAGCTCTAAAGGGTATTCATGCAGGCTTTTTAAACACCTTTAGACAAATAGACAGTTCTCATTACTCGTGCTGTTAGCAGCCTGGGATGGTTCTCTGAAGCACTTCCAAGGAACAGGAGCATCAGAGCACCAGTGTGCACAGACTGGACAATACATCCCACCAGGCTTAGCTAAGACACTACAACACAAGCCCCACAGCACAGAGGAGATCACCACTTATTCATTCCAACAAGCCAGGACAGCAGGACTAGGATTGACTTAACTAGTCCACATGGAAATCAGTGAAAACAAACAGCATTCAAGACTACTGAGCTTGTCAGATGAGAAGTTCTTACCTTGATGGGGTTCCTGTAGAAGGACTGCTTCCCAGAAGATGGAAATGACATTGCAATGATGCGATCTGTGGGAAGGACAGCAGTCAGAGCAACAGGGGAACCCTCCCCACCTGGAACCACAGCACTCAGAGCTACGTTGTCATGAAACAGCTCACTTCTACCCTAAGAACCTCCTACCCATTTCTGAGAGGTTCTCTTCTGTATTTAGTATAGCTAGAGCAGGAAAATAATGCTTCCTGAAGCATCAGCTGCCATTAAATGTCAGTGTCCATAGAATCACAGGCAAAAATATTGAGTTAGTCAATGTTCTCCCAGGCCTCAGGAGAATTTTTATCACTGCATACAGCAGGTACAACCTCTCTCCCAGTAGGCTAAACCTTGAGAACAGTGTCAGAGTCAGGAATCCACATTTCAAAATCCCACAGAAAAGGAGCAGGCCTGGTTTGACTTCATACTTAAGTTTCATTAGTCTAAGACATTGCCTGTGTTTCACATCAAGCACTTACTAACTGAACATCTAGAGCTAGCACCATGTAACATGCTCTAAAGTGACATTTGCTTCCACAAACCAGTAATGTAAGTGAGATCCAGATCAAAGCCATCCTTCATATAACGCCTTTTGTTTTCAGAGACCTGCCAAAAAAAGTAGAGGAATGCCAAAAATCAACAACTGTTGCCTGTTACTAGGAAAAAGGAAAAAAAATCAACCACCCAGATTCTGAAGTGATGAGTATCAGAGCCTCATTTTGCTGTAGTAAGCTTCACAGCATTGGAAGTTTGTGTTAGCTTGCAGAAGCTCCATACAGATTTTTTTTTAGCCTTAAGTATCAAAGTTTATTCTAGTGGAAAGAACACTGCAGGTTCCAGCATGAATCTCTCATCACTATTTGAGTGGTTGGGTACTGAGGGAAGGAAGTTCAGGGCAGCAGAACCAAGACTGCTTATTCCTGAGCAAGAGGGTATACTAGAAGCTTCAAGTACCCCTCTAGGGCACTTGATGAAAATAAAGAGGCTTTTACAGCACATATGGCTTCAACAGCAAGGGTTTTTTTTTTGTTTCACCTGGAATAAGCAGCAGCAGCAGTAAAATTCCTGTCCTCCCCCACGTGAGGGAAAGCAGTCTGTGCACCACACCAACCAGACACAGGGTGGTGTTGCAATCCCTTTGATATGCTGCCGTTCCAGGTCAAGCTGCTGCCTGCTTGAGGCAAGTTTGGAATGACCAGAAGCTGGGTGCTCAGCTCCTGCAGCCTGTCAGGGACACTGACCAGCCATGCTGCTCAGGCAGTCTTCTCAGCTGCAGACAGTCTTGCTGCTCACCATTGATGGCTGCCTGGAGAAAGGGGCAGGGCTGGAAACATTGATAGTAGCCTAGATATACCATGAGGCCAACTTACCATCCTCCTGGTCACCACTTCAAGTTGCTTCTTTTGTGAAGCCAGGCGAAATATTCTTATCAAGATGATGATTCTCAGAACTCGGAGCAGAGTGACCATCCTAGATGGGAGCCAGAGCACCATGAAACAAAGGGAACACCATTAGAGCCAAAGCTCAGAGATCTTTCAAAGCTGTGTCACAGACAGTTTAAAGCTTTGTTTAGGACTTATCAGGCTGATTTTGGAGAAAGGATACTATGCTTGAAGAATGCTATGGATTTATTGAGTTTCTGGGAGTAGTACATGTTCTGAACAGCTAACAGAACCAGGAAATCCCCTACTTCTCCAAACAGACTTTCACAGGCACCTCTGCCCAGCAAGACAAATTCCTTTAACAATACTTATGTTATTAGCCTCAAATTCTTCTTCCCTGAAGCTTGTTCTCAAGTATACCATGCAAGTAGCCATCTGAAAGATAGCTGAAAAGAGAAGCTTCACAGGCTGTACATATACATCATGCCTCAGTTAAGAAACCTGAGAAGACATCAGTATAAACCCTGTGTTTAATCATTCAGCAATCTGAGCAGATGATTTGGTTTGATGAACTTTGAACGGCTGTTGAACTTTGAGGCAAGCAAGATGCTTATGTGAGTGATTCCAAGGGAAAAAACATGAACAGGGGCAGCTGCTTCCTCATACCCTTAGGGACTAGGGTAAACTAACATTTATTCCTTAAGGAGGTAGGTGAGCATATACTTAAGGAACATATGCTTATATATATATCAGATCCTGATATACTTAGACAAAAATCCTGGTGAAAACCTACACTAAGGGGACTGCATTATGGAAACATTGTCTTCCAGTGGAGGTGATGGGATAGTCTGCTCTCCACTGATGTGGAGCTTAAAGTCAGCAAGACAAGGTTGTCCTAGACACGTGGAGTAAAGCTTCAGTTTTGTTCTTCCCCCAGCTCCTTCCTAGTCCAGGATCACCCTGATCTTTGCAAAACAGAATTCCCTTGGAGCTAGCAGCCAAGAAAATGAACCTACACTGAACTGAAGACTCCATAGACTCTCTCCCCAGCCTGAAACAACTGCAAGAAGCAGCTCTTCAGGGTAACAGCAGTGTGCATTCTGCCCTAACCTAGCTGGTTAACCATTAGCTCCCAGAATGAGACCCAGCTCTCATTCCTCAATGTCCTTTTATAGGTCACATCTCAAGGAAATGGGTAACTCATCCCAGTGCACACCCACCAAAATTGCACTTGTCACCTAAGCTCTCATCCACATAAAAGCTGCTCAGATTCTAATTTTGAGGTGTATTGGGCACTTTAAGACTGCTGTTTGCTTCCTGAAGAAGGCCTGAGGAAAGAAAAGCAACAAACCCCAGGTAGGCTACTGGGAATGAGCTGGATGGTGTGGACATTACTGGAGTGTTAGGTGGTAAGACCATCTCATCAAGATTTGGGATTTGGCCAATCCAGAGGTATCATCTAGTGCTACATAGTATTTTGGCCAGAACAGGACTGAAGAGAAGCCTTAGAGGGCCTCAAGAATTGCATAGGTAGGATGGTAGGCCCTAGCTGAGTGTCTTCTGAGAGCCACCAGCATGAACTCCTCTTTATGTGACCCAAGCACCTATTCTAAAGCCCCACCAGCTTCAGCAAGTCAGGATACAAGGAACCTGCACACACCAACCTACAGCAGGCTGGGTCAGTGCAGGATCAGGCCTATTGCTAGCACAGCACTGTGACACTAACCTGCACTGCTCTTTACTAGTTATTGCTCCTACCTTTAACTGGGTGCTGCCATAAGATGAAAGCCCATTTAGAAAAGTGTGGCCAGAGAGAGGGGAAGTAATCATTAAACTCAGATTAATGTTTGAAGACCTAGAAGGAAACAGCCTTTGATGGTTCTGAGGCTGCAGAATCCTTTCACAGTTCTACTTTTGAAACCTGAGTTTAGCTGATATTTGAAGAGACAGATAGTACTTCTAGATGTCTGCCCAACATTGGATTCTTCAGTACATAGACTTTGAGTTAGTTTCTTCTAGAAGAAAAGTTCTCCCCCTCAATAGCCAAACTGTGGGGGATGATATTTAAAAAAGTTTATATATAAAATTATATTTTTTTTCTTAATAAAGAAGAGAGCTCAGCTTCTTTCCCTGGCTGGTACAAGCAAGCTTCACCAATTCAAACCCAGTGCAGATAACCTGGGAAAGCAATCTGTTCCTGATGAAGACAGAACTACAACTCTAAAATTAATCATCTGATCAAGCTACAGAGATCAGACAGAAATAGACTCAAATTAACTCATGCATCTAAACAGCACATTTCCATTCCCCTCAGGGCATAGCTGGAAAATCCAACATATGTTACCATGGGGCTTTAGGGAAAGCAAGGTGAAGGAAACAAGACAGTGTGGCAACTCTTTCTGTTTCAAGATCCACTAGATGGAGATTCTCCCTGAGTTGTCTGTTCCACTCACTATTCTAATCCAGCTCTTCTTTCTGAACTTCTTCAGACTCTCTATTAGGTCTACTGCACACTTTCCCCCAGAAAAACAGGAGTGAAAGCATTTGATGGCCTCACTATTCACTTGTAGTTAACCCAACTGATGTGTTTAGGTCACCTCTGCCACTGAGACAGGGACAGCCTACAATGTAACTGTAGACTAAAGTTATCTCTCTGTTCCATCAGCCTGTGCCATGAAACACTAATCACAGCCAAATTCATGCCCTGCTGTGCACACATCTAGCTGAGAGGTGCCCAAGAGAGTTCTTAGAAGGCTGCCAAGAAAAGAGAGCTCACATTTAACAGCTGCCACACCATTCTTACCTTGGTATCTGATCTGCTGCAGCAAGGTCTGAGAAGGAGTATGTCATGTTAATGAGCAACGTGCCCACCACTATGAATGCATCCAAAATGTTCAGTTTGGACTGGAAGTAGTTCCTGAAGCTGAAACAGAGGTGAGGTTTGGACAGATGCCCATTGAAATACATCTTCAGGAAGATAATCAGCCTCTGCTGAAGCAGTTCTTAACAACAAGCACTGAAGACTCACTAAGAGAAAAAAAATCTTACACCTGATCCACCCAAGTCACAACAAAGCTGGTGCAGTTTCCAAGCTCTCACTCATACCAGAAGCAATTTCCAGGTTATCCCACAGAAGGGTAACCAAGACAAGACATGGCCACTGTCTATGACCAGACCACCACCCTACAGAGCACCCATGTTGCTAGTCCAGGCTTGAAGTGTCACCTGAAGACTTGCCACACCAATGTCTTACCCTTCAACAAACACCCTCAGGAGAACATCCACGAGAAAGAAGAGTGCTATTGCCAGGGAAATGCCCTCAAGGATCTCTCTGACACCTTTCTTCTCATTGATAGCCAGATCCACAATGACCACTATAATGTCCACAATGATAAGTACAACTCCAAATACTCTACAAAAAAAGAAAAACAAAAGTCAGCTTGAGAGATAGGAATGCATGGCTGACATTTACTGCCTGAAGAGCCCAAGCCTGGGTTTTGTTTTAAGGTGTTCCAGAAAGAGATGTTCCCTTGTCTGCAGATTTATGCCTACTTGAATAAGCACCTGAAGGATTCAACTTGTATCTCAAGTGAACTACACAGGGTACATCATCCATACAGAACACCCCATGTACCTCAGACCCAGCTGTAGTCACTAACCTAAAATTCCACAGCTGTTCTGTATCAGTTTAAGACTCTTTTTTATCCCCTCATAATCTAAGTACTGTTCTCAAGTTACCCTTTCCTGGAGTAACAGTTCAGTACTTCCCAGACAGAGCAGGCTGGAGTCACTGCTGTTCAAGAAACACCCAAGTTCTTAAATAAGAAATAAGGATTATTTCTACCCTGCCCATATTACAAGCATTATTTTTTACCTGAATCCAAATGACATCACAAATGGGGAAATTTTTCTTCTAATTGCACTGAAAGAGAAGATAATTGGCATCAATACAAATGACACTTTGCTACTGATATTAGCCACAAGAGCCTAGTTACATTCCTTTGTCCATATTCTTCTTGCTTTAGAGTTCTGAATAGCAGTAATTTCTTTAAGAGGAAATTACTCAGCTGCATTCATAAAGTATATAGGTTAAGGCAGTACTTG